TATCTATCTATCTATCTATCTATCTATCTATCTATCTATCTATCTATCTATCTATCTATCTATCTATCTATCTATCTAAAACTATACACATGCATGTTTTGTTTGCTGTAATGTGCTACTAAAGCATTTTTCCACACCTGTTATACTGCCCTCCTCTCTGGCTTTCGGTGAAAGACTCCCTACACCACCCTTAAAGTGTTGTAGAGAGCAGCAGACTGGTGATTTTGGCAGCGAACTGGTGATTTCATCACATGGGGCAGCGTTGTACTTCACAGAATGCTCCAGCTCGGCCAATCTGCAGAACTTTGTAGAGGAACAAGTTAGCCAGCTTCTCCTCTGCTTGTCCCTGTCACCACGGACAGGCTGTGTAGTGCTGTTCTGTGTCCAGGGTGGTCCCAGGTGCTGGAGGGGCTAAAAATAGATGAGGCTTGGTGCCTGCCTTCAAGATGTTTATCAGTTTATTTGGGTAACTAAACTTTACCCACACACAAAGTAAAGGGCAACTCAGCGCTCTTGGGTGGGGTGCTGACCACAGCGGTAGTGCTAGTTCTGAGAGCACACTGCTGTTCAGGACCTGTACCGTGCTCAGAATGTAAAAGCCACATAAGGGCACTTGGCTGCGTTGTTCTTTGACTTGACACTGCCGAGATGACAATTCAGTAGGTGTGTTGAATGTTTCTTCCTTGTTTAGTAGCACTGCTTGTGTAATGTCCCATGTTGTTAAGACAAGTGATGCTTCAGTTACTGCTGCTGTCTGCTTGAGTGTCCTGCGAACTTGGGAGCCCTTGAAAAAGTATCTTATTTATGTCTCCAATGCCTGGCTCTGAATAAATGAAGGAAGGTAGCTAATTGTAAAATTGTGTGTGTGCGCGCATGTGAGTGCTGAGAGAATGAGTATGAGGGACAGACAGAAACAGATACCATTCTCGCAAAGATGAAATTCTGGGTATGGAATTTGCAAAAACATTCCTATTCTGTCAGGAGCCCAGGTTTTAAAATGTTCTGCATTTCTAATTTTATGCTTCGGTTGATCTCGCAATCAATGAAGTAAGAATTATTTCCCTTCATATCGGAATAGAAATAAGGTGCTTCTGTGAGAATATGGTGTCTCCCCTCACACTAAGTTTGGCTTTTAGCTTTGCTAGTGAAGAAAGTAGGTAGAACACTCCTCGCTTATGAGAGAGAATATTGAGGCCTGGAAGTATTTCAGATGTGACATTCTCTGCTTATCTGCATACTTGATGACTCACAAATAGAGTCCTTAGTTCCCAAAGATGAGGCTCTTTTTTATTTTGCCAACTCGCCCCTCTTTGAAAAACCCTATTTCCTCACCACACCCCTCTACCCACTTCCCTAACTGATGTGGTGATCTTTACACCCTGTCTCCCTCGCACTCCTCACCTGCCAACCCCACCAGCCCTCCTTTCTCGACTTTCAAAGAAAACAAGAGCAGTGTTGGAGGTGGATTGTAAAAGATCAGTATGTTGCTGTTGATTATTGGAGATTCAAAGACTTGAAAAAGTAACATCTGATATGAAGTGCCCACTTCCATTCCTGTCTTGCTGGCCTGAGGAGTTTTTGAAAAGTGCCTTTATAATTTTAAGTTCATGGCACAACAGGATATAGCAAGGGTCCTTAAGCCAGGGGACTGGTCATTATCATCATGTCTGTATTCTGCCATGTCAGTGATATATATTTATTTTTAAAAATATTTATTTATTTATGTATTACAGAACTGGTGAACAGGCCAGAGATGCAGGGGCAGTGAGAGGATTCACCAGAGACAGAGTGGGGAGCAGAACAGGCCAACTGACTGAAGTACACTGCTGAGGGGAGCAACAGGCGGGTCAGGAGAGGTCTGCCGCGCCATGTGGCTCACCTCCTGGGCAGGAGGGAATCGAACTCATGCAGAAGTGGCTTTAGCTTCTTAGTACTGTGCTTTAACCCACTGTGCCACCAGGGAGGGCCATCATTGATATGTTTTATCAGAGTCTTTTCATCTTTTTATTTTTTCTTTTCAAGTTCTGGGGAGAAAAATTCACCCACCTCATTTGGCAGAGAACTCCTACCCAGTTCCTATGTCAGGCTGGCTCTTGGCTCTGACATCCTGTCTGTGGGACAACATGTCTTCAGCGGTGCTTAGTCTTCATGGATGACCAGTTTCTACACATTGTTCGAGTTCAGGAACTCGAAAAATCTCCCAGTCCCTAAACACCTCTAGGCCCTCTGTTCATAACATCTAAACATGGCACATAGAGGTCGGTTTCTGATGTGTTTTTAAATAAGACCATTTCCAGGAATTCTCCATTTTCATCTTGTAAACATATGTCTCAAATTTAACACTACTTAAACTCTGCAAAGTGCCAGATAGCAGGGAATTACATAGTCCAGGCTCTGAATTTTCTCTAGTACTTTCTGAAGCTCTGCATGTCTTGCAGGAGAGGTGAGATGACACAGTTAGGAAGCTGGTATTTAATCCAAATTTTAGGAAAGGAATGCTGCTGTGTTCAGGACAGAGACTTGTAGAAGAGATGGAGCATGTGTGGTACACATTTTGTTCTCAACAGAACTTCCCCCACAGCCTTTCTTTTTGACATTTAAAGGTGTATAAAGTCATAAGGTTAAGGTGAAAATTAAGAAAAATGTTCTGGCAGTGAGAGCTGCTACAGAGGAATAGCCTTTTAAAGGAAATGTGGATGTTCTCCTGACCCAGCCAAATGAGGGAAAAGTCTCCTGTAACCTTTCTGGATCTGAGAGAATAGCCTCATTTGTCTCTTCTCAGCCGTTTGTGCTTGTGTTGGGAATCCTTGAGCAGCATAGCGTAGCTGTACTGTACTCTAAGGCCGTGGTTGGCGCTCAGCTCTTCTCCCTTACGCGCAGTAGAAAACTCTGTCGGCAAGCATCGAAAGGTGGAGCAAGTTTGTTTTTCCACATTAAATGTTGTTCCTGTGTACCCAGCCAGCACATGGCAGTGGTTGAGAGAATCCAGAGAGTGAGTGTGAGGGCAACAGCCCAGAGAGGCAGCCAGCTAGTGTCAGTCCCGTAGACTCTCCAATCCCACCCACCCGAAAGGTGTGCAGATACGTTGTGAGTGAAAAAATGAACACATTGGCTTGCTAGTTTGGGCTGGGTCATGGGTCTGAAGTAGGCCCAGAATATCTCACTCATGTTGAAAATGGAAAGTGTGAGTTCTGCAGCTCTGTCTTTTTAATAAGCTTCAGCACAGCTTGACTCCCTAACCCTTCAGATCTACAGCTTGAGCCCCTTGTCACACCTCAGCCAGTGGTGTGAGCACACACAGTGTGGCCCTGTTGTAGCCCTCACAGCTAATCTAACCTGTCATTTTTGTGGGCCCCTATGTAACAGCCCTGTACCCCTAAACCCTGACAAAAGGTGATTTTATGGCTGAAGTGTCAGAATGGATTACTGTGTTTCCTTTTCTTAGTAATCATATTCTTCTTTGTAATTGTTTTTGGTTATTTGTAATTAGGGAATTATTACTTCTATCATTCTTCACCAGAT